GGGGGCGGCGGCGGCGGGCCTCGAACGCCACGTCACAGAGGATCACTTACAGCATCACAGAGATTCTTATTTAAAGAAACGCTTTGCAACAAATAACCTGAATCGTATTGCTGCCGATGAGATCGTTTAACAGTCATCAAAGAGTTGAAAGAAAAAATCCATGCGAGGATAATTTAGCTTGAAATTACATTTAATGTCCACATGGCCGTGTGGTAGCCTCCTCCGTACGATGGACGTCGATACTCTGGGATTCAACACCTCAAGACTTTCATTAAATGCCAAATTTAAGTGGCAGTGCAGGAAGTAACTTGTTCTTTAAGTGAGATTCTAGAGACGCCAAAAACACGTCTGACTCACATGCAGCTACACACCTCATTACTGACCTACACTCAGCCTCTGCCTTTTCATTAACTATAACTACAATCTTTCCCTGATCAGAGTTATACTGAAGCCGTAATGCTCAGGTAGAGTGGAAAGTGAAAATATGAAGAAATAATTGTTGTAAGCAGAAATAAGGAATGACTTGTAATTAAAAAGATTTTTTTCTGGATATTGAAAAGTTGTTCGTTGTCGTCACAGAAAGCTTACGCACACTTATTTATGTAAATACTGTAATTGACATCTTAATTGACCCATCTGTCACATAACTGCATTTTACTTATTATCATGTTACTTCAGCATCTTTTGCACTATTCACCACTGCACGGTTTCATATTTAGTCATGTAAATATTATCATTTTCTTATTATGTTTATTGTTGATATTTAATGTTATACTTGTACATAAGAGAGCACAGTTCACCAAAGTTTAATTCCTTGTGTGTGTAAAGCATACCTGGCCAATAAATCTGATTCTGATTTCACATTTCTTTAGGCAGTAAGCTAAAAAGTTAGGGCGTTTTTATTAAGCAAGATTGTTTCAAACCGTGCCTGAGCACGATTGCTCCCCCCTTCCCTTACCGCCGCTGGTCTGCGTTCACATTAGTAACATCGCTCCATGCCCGAGTACACTTGCATATGTACACAGTTTGATTTAGCAGGTGGCAGTGTGCACATAGTTGGTTTGCAAAAGGCAGAACGAAGAAGAAGCAACCACTTGCAGACTGAGTCCATCCTGCTCATTGTGGATGTTTTTGTTATTTGTGAGACGCCAACAACGACCCTCTTCCTGCTTCAACATCTACCGTGCAGCTCAGAGGATGAAACGGGCCCGTGCTGTGCAGATACGACGGTTTTTGAAGCGACAGGAGCCGTTTAGAATTACGTCATATAGCGGCCCACTTCCTTGTTTGAGCACGGTTGCGTTCACTCGAGTACACAGACTCATGCAGACTCGAGTACAGTACGTTTGTGTTCACACTGATCAAATGAGCCCGACTTTGGGGTCAAGCGGACTCGGATCTGGGACCCAGTTCCCTAGAGTGAAACCCCCCTTAGAGTGCAATTAAATGAGTTTGGATTGTAAGTAATGAATTGAACCAGGGTGGTGTGGTTGGACTGGCTACTATCACTCTGTTTTTCTCATTTAGTGTTGTAACTGTTCAATTTGATGCAGAAAGTGAAAAAAAAAATCAGACTCACTCTGGCCGTACTGACTGTACTGGTATCCGGCTGCAGCCACAGCGGGGTCCATGCTGTAGCTGGTGGTGCTGTATGTCGGGGGACAGTAGGACTGGGACGAGGGGAGGCTGTCCACCGTCTTAATGGAGGCCTCGGCCGAACGCTGGCTGCAGCTGGCTGAGATGGAGTTGGACGGGGAGGAGTCCAGGGCGCTGTGGAGCGGCGAGATGGAGAAGTCGTGTTGCTGCTGCGAGGAAACGCCGCTGGGGTTGCTCAGGATGCTCATCACCTGCGAACACAGAGAGGAGATGATGTCAGCTGACTGTTTCTCTCCAACTCTCCGGTACAGAGAAAGATAGCTCGTTGTTAGCCACCTAAACCTTCCTCTGCAGCCAGAAAAAAACCTCCACCTTACTCACAAGACATCTCATGAGCTAACAGGCACATTATCAGAGAAACAAACATTTTAGAGACATGCTGGTTGTCACGGCAACCACATTGTTCATTCTGGGAGTTGCAGCAGTCACATTAGCCACTTTCCAGAATCAGTGGCTGTTGCAATAATTGGTCGTCTAACGAGATCTCACAGAAAATTTGAGAAAAAAATCACAAACTCTTAACGACACATTCCGATGTTGGGCGGTGACATGTTTATAAAGTAAAGTCCTTCAGACCAATCAAGTCCAGCTCTCTATACTTCAGCTCCTTTCTGCTACTTGAAGGAGTCTTTCTCGCGTTTTGCTTACCCAAATATTCCCCCCCCCCCACCACCACCACCACTAATCCCGGCACCTTTAATTGAAGTAAGCGAGTTTATGCTAAATATGCAGATTTGGATAATTTTTCCACTTTCAAGTTGCACAAAGGGCGGCTCTGTGGTGACAGGCCACCTCCTTGTAGTCCTGAATGGGGAGTGTCAGGCTGCTAGAAACCCCTCACCTCCTCGCTCGAGTCGAGTTTTGACATCTCCTGGGGTCCTGGAGGCTCTACTGCTCAACCTCTGTCTCTCTCTGCTTTACTCTCCTCCCCCATCCCTCACTCCTCTGTCTGAAGCTGAGCCACCAACACCAGGAGAACCAGGTTAATACAAAGTGAGAAAATGTTCCAAATGTATTTCTCACAGTCTCAACATGACTTTTTATTTACTGTAACATCAACACACAACCAAAAATATGAACACACGTTTAGGCTTAAACTAATTTTACTCTCTTATGTTGAGTCAAATGAGCTGTATCCTGTCAAGACTTTGAAGATCTTTTCTTCAGTTATTCACTCACAGACAATTTTCATACTGCACAACAGCGCTGTCATCACGTCTTAAGACACTCATAGATTCTGCAATGTCTCAATATTGGTGTCCCAGTCTGTGAATTCAAATTGCATTATGGCATTGCTGAAGAACAGCAGGATCTCCAAAAACACTCACACACACACACTCTGCCTTGCTGACTCGGCCAATCCCGTCTCGCCCCTGTAACGCCTCAGTAAGAGCCTCAGAAAACGGGACAGAGGGAGGTCAGGTTGTGCTCTCCATTATGCCTCCATGACGTTCAGATTGAAGGCAAAACGTCAGAGAAGCATAAATATCACTTCTAGAAACACCAGTCTGACCCGGGCTCAAGGTAGCCTTCTGCAGGTATTTATGGTTTTGGCTTTTTGCATTTTGCATTTTGCAGTTTGCCTTGCATCAATCATAATCACAACAGCAGTTGTTGTGTAAGAATGGACACAAACCGGGGGAATCATACTAAGTTATGGTTGTTTATTTGAATTAATTTGCATGTTATAGTCGGTGGAGCAGCCCCGCAAAATCAGGTTATTCATCGAAATAATCGAAGACTTTGTTCAGCAGTTATTATTGAATAAAACCAAACCAATTCCTTTCTCTGGAAGTCCTTGAGAAGATCTTTATCAAAAAAGTTATCCCATGTGTATGTGTTAGTTAGCCTTAGCTTAGCAAAAAAGCTGCTTCAAACGTTTCAGTGATTGGTCTGAGCTAACAGCTGCACGCTGAGTAATACTGTGTCCAAAGCCCCTTCCAACTTTCATGTGCACGCTGGCTCCGAGTCCGAGTTTCACTAAACCGAACAAACGCCAAACAATTCAGATGATTGTTACCCCACAACTCTGAGAAAACTCTCACTCCAGCTGTCTGCGGCAGCAACAAGAGACTTCCCTTCTTTGTACCGTCGAAAGAAAGGAAAAAGAAGTGAAGAATTGTGAAGTGTAAATGAACACAATATGCACCCTTTCAGATAAATTACCATTCCAGACAAAGAGTTTCCTCAGTGTGTCTCATTCAAACGTCTTCATCTGTTCTAATGAGGCCTTGTTTTGTTCCAGCTCGTGTCAGAGGAAACCCTCGTCTTTGTTGCCGCCTGAGCTCGGCCCGCTTCTGCAGCTGCGGCGCACTGATAGCACAGACGCTGCAGCCAGGAGCTAAGGCGGGCCTATTAAACATTCCCAGCATGCATTTCACTCAGACTGTATGCACGAGGTGTCCAGTGGTGTCAAAATGTGTTCACAGCAGCACATGTTTTCTTAATGGTAAGAAGCAAGAAGTGTATTGAGGTTTAAATCCAGAGTAAAGACTTAGGCCCCCGGGTCCACATAGCATTTTTTTTCAGGTCAGAAAAGCGTGGCTGTGCGCTCGGAAGTGCTCGCATGAAGCGTTTGTGCGCTCTACACGTCTGTCCTGTCACCATGACAACAGTCTGTTTAGAGTTAGGCTGCTGTATGACTGACACTGCTCTGTTACTTTTTTCTGCATTTTTTATAATTGAGATCGTTTAGTTTCTCGATCAGAAGCGGAGCGAGGAGGATTGTGGGTACAAGATACGATCTGTAGGCGGCAAAACTACGGTGGAATATCGTACATTTGGAAAAGAGCGCCCGTCATGTCAACAGCGCCTTTCTGAAAAGTTGAAGGATTTTCAACTTGAGCGCTCGGAGCGGCCACACAAAAATGCAGAGTGCTCGTAAAAAAAAAAAGACGCTAGACAGTGCACTTTTTTTTCCAGGTGTGCGTCTGCGGCTGAAAACGCTCGCTACTCTTTGAAAACAACTTAAAAAAAATGCTAAACCAGGTTAATATGTAAACAGTACGTTGCATGGGAGTCAAGGTCACTGGAAGGTTTAAGAGAAGGTGACATATAACACACAGGAAGTGGATAAACGTCCGTCTGAAAACAGTGTGAGGAGTCTCTAACAGATGAAGAGATGAGAGGAGCGCAGACGTGTGCAGACGTGACATTTTATCTCTGAGCCACACATTACCATCTTCACATTCAGCTCCCGTCTTCAGCCTCTCACATCGCTCCTGTGAAAAGCTGTCCCCAGCGTTTTATTTAGTTCTCCAGCTCAGCTTGGCGCTCGGTACCAAACAGAGTTTTTTAAAAATAGTCAGCTGAGAGATAATCGGGGATTTCAGGGCGCTAAAAACAGAATCAGGTGGTGAATGTGAAAAGGCTAAAGGTGACAGTGCGCTTCAAAGGAAGTACTTATTGGATTAAACAAAAAAACCACCTGAAGCTGACTCCCTTCACGCCTGTCCCGCGCTGGAACGGGTTGGCAATGTGTGGCTTTCATCAATCATGAACACTCTCGACACAGGAACGGGGTAAAACGTGTGTGGAGGTGGAAGAGTAGGCAGCGTTTAGAGATCACCTTTTTCAATCTCTTAGCATTTATACTCCCATGACTTTGTGAAGGAACATTTGAGTGTGACAGCGTGAATGTCCTCCAAGAAAGACTGAGAGCCTCCTGACACACCTGTGGGATTCATCACATCACGTCAGGAGGGTTTATGCCCCCCACCCTTTCAGTGTGCCAATTGGAAGAGCTTCATACACCAGTGAAATCATCGACCAGCTTCTAAACAGTAGATTTAAACCGTCACTTTTATTTTAACATATTTTGGTGTTTCTGTCTAAAAGGTGCAAACTGTTTGGAAATAGTTCCAGTTCATTGCTCAGGCTGATAATCAAGTATCAGGTTTGCAATAGCTGAAATATAAAGTATACAAGCACCTGAACATTCAAACCAAATCGATGGTTTTTGCAGCTGACCGGCTCAGTTTGAATTTTCTGAAAATATATGACTGAAGGAATCCCTACAAAAATACTTTTTTTTAATGAAGAGTAAGATTATTTTTATTTATGAAGTAAAGACGTCACATCTTTCAAATCCTTCCAACCTCATTGACTTTTAAACAGTAATTAAACTTTTCAAAACATGAGGAGTTGTCGGTCGGCCGCTCGGCTAATTGGTCACTTGAGTGTGTGATGGTGAGTAAGTCAAATGTTTCAGATCTTACCACTCTCACTCTGCAATCTTTACCGTGCAAAAGCTCTTTTGACCTTGAATGTCCACTTTGTTTGACCAGTGCGAGCGCTCTGTTCAGTGCTCAAAGGCACACTTCCTCAGTCTTGGCACGGTTGGAAGAGGTGTGATTCTGCACGGTACATTTCATGCACGAGCACAAGTACGAGGATACACAACGTGGACTGCCTTCATTATTTAGAAATCCAGAGTGTTCTGACTGTATCTGACTGACATGACTCAAAATAAGACACAAAGTCAGTAAAGAAGCCGCCATGTTCTCTGTGTTGTTTTCTGATGTGCGGACACAAACTCGACCATGCGTCCATTTTATTTATACATTTTTTTAGTCCTCATGTCTTGTTATATTAAACACACTTCATGATCACGTAAAGCCATGCATGTGTTGTATTATGAGGTTTTGTATGAGAGGTAATCGCAGCTGGCTTCAGCACGGTAGGGTGTGAGCGCGCCCTAAAACAGCAAAACTGAGAATATTACAGAAACAAACGTATCACTGAAGGTGATCATCTTAAGACCGACTGACCCATGTTCAACATGCTGTTCTCCACTTCGGCCTTCAAAGTTCCCGTTTTAATATTTGCTACTACCACCAAGATCTGCACCCGACTCCCAACTCCCATGATCCTTGAGGTCAGATTACTGGTTTCATCGATAGAGTTTGGTGGCTCTAGATTATGCAATGTAACGGCTCTTTCTACTTTCAGAAGAAAAAAAAGCATCAACCTCAACACGAAGGTTTATCACTGCAGAGATCCTTGTGAAGAAATGTGTGAGCACGATGTCGACAAAAACAACAATTTTTAAGTTGGACGCACTTTAATCAGACACAAATGCTCGCTTTGTTGCCAGCTGAAGAAACCCACTCGAGTAACAGCAAAACTTCCATGTTCCTTTTTTAGGTAATTTAGGCCCAAAAACAAGTACAAATCGAGCTCTGGTTTTATA